GCTCCGTGAAAACTCCAGGAAATAATACTAATCTAAAATATGGAAGTAACCTTGTAAATCTAGACTAAAAATGGAGAAATTCGGACTTGGGAGGGAGAGAGGGGCGCTGTGCAGCGTGTGAAATCGGAGGGGGGAAGTGCTGTATTTATAGGACTGGACGCGAAGCGTCCAACCCCAGCCGTCCGGATCCAAAGCGTCCAAAGTTGGACGCCTTACGTAGCTCGTCCATTCGCTGCACGCCACGTGCCTTTCGTGGTGCCCAATCTTTGCCAAGCGTCCAAAGGGAAGCGTCCAACCTGCAAAGCGTCCAAGGTTGGACGCTTCGGGCCTTTTCCCGTGGGCTTTTTTCGCGGTTTGATCCAAATAAGGCCCAACTTCAATTCTCATTTTGCTTCGCAGTTTGTTTGAACTTCCTCCGATATTCCCATGATAAAATTCTCAGTTAAAAACTTCTTTTTTCTTTCAAATATAAACAGAAAAATCAACAATCAGGACTGGATAAACTTTAAACCAATTATTATTCCTTAAAGAACAAATCAAAGATATTGTTCAGTTTAACATAAAATTATGTACTGCTTACCACTATTTTCGTGCAATAACGCTTAAAATATGTAGAATAAAATAAGAACAAAATGAACTTATCACCTGTATACTTGCCGATGGAGGTTTGCAGAATCGGGGGGCCATTCACGTCCTTCGGCGCCTGGGCTCTGTTTGTCCTGAAGTCCACTGGGCCCGGGGTGTGTCTACCTCCCCATGGATTTTCAGACGAGGGAAGAAAGATCCCCAAATCCATTGGGAGGTAGAGAAAGTCATATCTTTTCCTTTTTCAGTGCCGTTGTGTAATAAATGTTGCCGGTGTCGCAATCGTATCGTGTAGGGCTTGTAATAAATGTTGTAGCTTTCGAGAATACCTCTGTAATGGAGTGGGACTTTGTGTACAATGAATGTCTTTGTAATAAGTGCCCTGTGCCAATTATAAATATGATGCATTGTTCCTTTCCTTGTTTGCGTCTCTCTTTTTTTTGCAATATGGCGTTAAGCCCTGGTACTCCTTCTCTTGAAGAGGGAACGTCCTTCATTCGGGCTACTCCCCTTTGTTCTTTCCTTATGGCAGATTCGTCTTTGCCCAGTTTTGCCACTGCTCCGACTGCGGTGGGGAAGTGTACTTATCCCGATCTACCTTCATTTAAGTGAGGATTCTGTCCAAAGTCCCTTCCGCCGGGAACCTGATCCAACAGAGGTTGCGCAGAGGTCTGGCCGTTTGGTGCGCAAGGTGGGCACGAACGTGCGTGCCTACCTTAAAGGCTTTCGTCGTGCTCACCGGAAGAAGACGATCAGCGCCGAAATAATTTCTGAAGAAATAAAAGTGTATTGCCGTTATTTTCGTCGTGTATTGCCGAAAATGTATTACCGGCAAATTTCTGAAGAAATAAAAGTGTATTGCCGTTATTTTCGTCGTGTATTGCCGTTATTTTCGTCGTGTATTGCCGAAAATTTCTGAAGAAATAAAAGTGTATTGCCGTTAATTTCTGAAGAAATAAAAGTGTATTGCCGGCAATACATCATAATTCAGGCTTTCGTCGTGCAATCCTTCCTCCGTAGATTCTTCATTTTCTGAAGAAATAAAAGTGTATTTTGATCTTTCGGGAAACAACGCTTCACGTTCTTGTGCCTGAATTATGATGTATTGCCGTCTTGGGCGGATTTTGTGTAATAAAACTGCCTGTGTTCTGCTTTTTCCTTCTTTTTTTTTACACCCCGAAGGGTTCTTTTGCGCTCACGCCCTCAGCAGGGCGGCGAAAGGTGTGTCCTCAGCAGGACTAGGGGTCGTGGAAGACATCCTAAGCAGGATTGCAAGTTTTTTGTCCTAAGCAGGACCTTGCGCTGCCCTTTGTGCTATTAACAAGTTGTGCCCATTCGGACCTTGTTCTTCGTCTCGTTCAGAGCGCCAATTCCCCGAGTTAAGCCGTGCGGACGGGCTCCCCCCTGAAGGGACACTCGGCAATAGGTATTGTCGAGTGGCGAGACGGCAAAAATTCATTTCTCGTGATATGTGTGAGCACAAAAGGACTTAGTTCGCGTATAGCGAAAGACAGCGTGAGGCCATAAAAAAATCGCGGCGTGGGAGCCCGATAGCGCTAAGCAGCGTCTTTAAATTGCGTAAAGCAAAAACAACGGAATTCGTGTGGAAGCGAGTATTTCATTAAGTAGAAGATCTTGCTGTTTTGTTTTTTTTAGCTACCGAGGCCGACTGGTTACGGTTCTCAGCGCCTTACATGTAAAAAGAAATGAGATTGTGCGTGTTCAAGTGCCTGCCGAGTTCGCGACCTTCAAGCGTGGAGAGCTTGTAAGTGCCTGGCAAGAGCACAGCTATGACCTTGTACAGTCCTTCGTAGCTTTTGGCAAACTTTCCCCCTTCTGTAGGCTGACTGGCCTCCCTCTTCCTGAGTACCAGGTCCCCTACCCGATACTCCCTTGCTCTGACCTTGCGGTCGTAATATTCTTTAACTTGCCTCCGGTAGTTCTCTGCTTTGAGAAAAGCTTGCTCTCGGCGTTCTTCAACGAAATTAAGATCGGCCACCATGGCTTCCTCCTTCTCCTTGGCTTCATAATTCTCCTCTCTCCATGTCGGGATGAACACCTCCGAGGGTGCCCTCGCTTCCAGGCCGTAGCACATGGAAAACGGCGTTTCTCCAGTCGCCCTCCTTGGAGTGGTACGGTATGCCCATAGCACGTTGGGGAGTTGGTCGACCCATGCTCCCTTGTAGGATTCAAGCCTCTTCTTGATCCCGTCCATGATTGTTCGATTGGCGTTCTCTACTTGGCCGTCCCCTTGCGGGTATGCCACAGAGCTGTAAGTGTGCCTTATCTTCCAATCTCCCAAAAGTTCATTGAAATCTCCAGCTTCGAATTGGGTTCCGTTGTCTGTAGTGATCTGTTTTGGAACACCATATCGGCAGAGTATGTTGTTGTTCACAAATCTCGAGCACTGTTCTGAGGTTCCTCCCACTAAAGGCTCGGCCTCGATCCACTTTGTAAAGTAATCGATAGCCACAATGATCCAGCGGAAATTACCGGGTGCCCTCGGCATCAGTCCGATCAAATCTATCCCCCAATGAGCAAAAGGAATTGATGAGCTGATGGGATGATAGCTGGTTCCTGGCCTCCCCGGAATGTTTTGGAAAACTTGGCATACTTTGCAACGCTTGGCGCGCTCGGAACAGTCCTTTACCATGGTCGGCCAGAAGTATCTTTGCAGGACAATGCGTCTGGCCATGGAGAAAGGACCCTGATGTGTCACGCATATTCCCTCGTGGACCTCCTCCATGATTTGCCCCGCTCTGGCCTCGTCAACACACCTCAGCAATGTGCCGTTGTATGATCTCTTGTATAGTCGACCATTCTCAATGACATACGTCGGTGCCCTCCTTTTGATCAGATGGGCCGTTGTCTCATCGCCGGGGAGGACTCCGTCCTTCTTATACCGGATCAAGTCCGCGATCCATCCGCTGGCCTCCTCGGTAACGATAGAGACGAGCTGAACGTGAATGCTTGGAGACCCCAGGTCTTCAATGTGAGCCATTTTGGAGACGTGCTCGGGAGTGTCGTTGCTCAGTTTGGAGAGGACGTCGGCCTCGGTGTTTTCCGCCCTCGGGATCTGTACGAGCTCGTAACCTTTAAGGATTCTGAGCTCGGCATCCCTCAAGATTCTGCTAACATAATAGATAGGGCGCTGAGTGTCCCCTTCCTCTCGCAACAAAACGGAGCTTATGGCTCCAGGGCTAACTCCCTAGTAGAGGTACAGCTTCTCGCCCTTGACCGGCTTTGCTAATACCTGCGGGGTTAGCAAATACTTCTTCAGTTCTTCGAATGCCGCCTGGCATTCGGGTGTCCATTGGAATCGTGGGACCTTCTTCAGTGTGCCAAAGAAAGGAATACTCTTCTCGACGGATTTTGACAAAAATCGGCCGAGTGCAGCCATCTTTCCCGTCAGGCGCTGTACTTCTTTTATAGAACGGGGGGCCTCCATGTCCAGGATCGACTTGACCTTCTCGGGGTTGGGCTCAATACCTCGTCGGCTCACGAGGTATCCCAGCAACTTTCCACCTTCTACACCAAATGTACATTTTTTGGGGTTAAGACGTAAATTGAACTTGCGCATAATAGAAAAAACCTGGGATAGATCCTCCGCATGGTCGGAAGCCTGCTTGCTCTTGACGATCATGTCGTCCACATATGCTGCCATCGTCTTTCCCAAGACCGAGTGGAACACTCGGCTGACCATCCTGGTATACGTGGCTCCGCTGTTCTTCAGCCCGAATGCCATCACCAAATAGCAATACACCCCCTCCGGGGTGAGGAACGCCGTCTTCTCGGCATCTTCGTCGTGCATGAACACTTGGTGATATCCTCTGAACGCATCCATGAAAGACATGACCTCGCACCCGGCTGTTTCGTTGATCATTTGATCAATGTTGGGCAAAGGGAAAGGGTCCATAGGACAAGCTCGGTTCAGGTCAGTGTAATCCACACACATCCTGAACGTCTGCCCCTTTGGTGCCAGCACGACGTTGGCCAGCCAGGTGGGGTATTTGATCTCCTTGACATGCCCTGCTGCTTGGAGCATGTCCACCTCCTTCTTCACGAAATCTCTCCGGTCTATGCTCAAGTGCCGCCTTCTCTGCTTTACGGGCTCTGCGTCCGATCCGACCGCGAGGCGGTGGGTGATCAGGGATTTGCTAACTCCCGGCATATCCTCGACACTCCATGCAAAGACCACAAAGTTCTCCCTGAGTACCTGTATGATTTTCGATCGAAGTTCGGCACTAATGTTAATACCGAGCTTGATCTTCTTCTCCTGCTGCTCCTCCATGATCACCACATCTTCTGTATCTTCGGCTGGCTCAGCTCGAGGACGGCCTTCTTCCTCCTTCAAAAGTGCCGTGGCAATACTGTCCACCCTGAGATCCTGGGCGTCCATCTTCTTTGTTTGTTTCTGGTAGCAGAGTCGGGCGAGCTTCTGGTTTCCTCTGCATACTCCTACTCCTGAATCGGTAGGGAATTTCATGCTCAAATACTTCACCGATGTTACGGAGTCGAGATCTTCCAGTGCAGGCCGTCCCAAGATCAGATTATGGGATCCCAGAAGTCGTACCACCAAAAATTCAACCGGGATTGTCTTCTTGTGTTCTCCATCGCCGAAGGTGACCATCACCTCGACCAGGCCTTCTGAATCGATGATGTCCCCTGTGAATCCGGACAAGGGAGTCCTTACTCTCTTCAAAAGTTCCTTCTTCAATCCCAGCTCCTCAAATGTCCTTACATACATGATATTCACCGAGCTCCCATTGTCAACGTAGGATCGGTGGATTACCACCTCGTTGATCTCACACTTGACGACGAACGCGTCCCTGTGGGGTGATGGGATCTCAGGCAGGTCCTTGGGACCAAATAGGAGGGGCTCCGTCTTCGTGATTTTCGATGGTCCAGGTGCGCTGTGAACATCTCCGATATAGGCCGAGTGTACCCACTTCTTTCTTTGCTCGGCACTGTCTCCTCCAGTGTTGCCACCGTAGATCATTCTGTTCTCCTCGACCCTCTTCTGTCTAGGGTTGTCTTCTTCTTCTTCGTCGCTCGGGAGACTTATCTCCTTCCTCTTCTTCTGCTGAGTTCCCGCCGGTTTCTTCCCTCGGTTGTCCTCGTTCTTCTTCCCGTCATCCTTGCGCCATGTGTTCTTCTTTTTGACGAATTGTCGCAGATATCCCGCCTGGATCAGGTTCTCGATCTCCCTCTTGAGGACCTTACACACGTCCGTGTCATGACCGGCCGCTCTGTGGAACCTGCAGTAAGGGCCCTCTCCGACAGTGCAAATCGGGGGGAATCGCGGATCGTACTCCACCAAGCTCTGATGCTCGGCGAAATCTAGAATGGCGCTTACGGGATGTGTAAGCGGCGTGAGCTCATCAGGGAACAACAACTTGGGACCTCTGGGAGGATAAGGTCTCCTGTTCTGGCCTCCTTCTTCATATATGTCCTTTCCGTGCGATCGTCGGTCGCGAGGGTCTCTGCCCTTCCGGAAGCGGTGTCCGACCGGCAAATGTGGTCGCTCATCGATGGTGACCTTCCTCGGCATGGGCTTCACCGCAGTCGCGATAGAACCAAGCCTTCCAGCTTCCTCCTTTTTCTTATTTGCCTCCAGCTCCTCTGCTTCGGCTTCATCCTCTGCCATGGCCAGCGCGATGGAATACTCCCTCGGTTTTTCCAGGGCTAGGCGCTTGGAGAAGTCACCTGAGCGTAAGACCAAATGGAAGGTAGATAACCTGGTTTTGTCATCCGCTCCGTAAACTCTGGTGGTCTCCAGCTTCCACCTCGCCAGGAATTCCCTCAGCGGCTCGTCAGGTCGTTGCCTAACCGACAGGAGATGTGAAAAATGTAATTTCTTCTTCCTGTTCCCGGCAAAATGGACCAGGAACCTTCGTGCCAAATCCTCCCATGAGTCGATCTTCTCCTCAGGCAGCTCATTGAACCACTCAAACGCCAAACCGTCGAGGGTGGCGGGGAACGACCTACAAAGGACTTTCTCGGAGAACGTCACCACGTTCATGAGGGTTTGGTATCGGTTGAAATGCTCTTGCGGATCCGTGGTCCCGTCATACCTTGGTATGGGCGGCATCTGAAAGCTGCTCGGCCGTGGTGCCCTCAGGATCCTTTCGGAGAAAGGAGAACGAAGTCTGAACATGGGTTCGGCAACCTGTCCCGCCCCGTTCCTCCTCTCCAGGGCGTCCAGTCTCTGCAAGAGGAGATCGATGCGTTCGTCCCCAGGTCTGCTCATGCCCCCGTCCATCGCGATAGGCGCCCCTTGCGGCGCTCTCAGAATCGGATGTTGAACGGGTTGCTCGACCCGGGAATTTTGCCTTTCCGGATGGACCTCTCTGTGTCGGTCACACTGTTCCTCACAGGGCATCCTGATCTTTCCCGCTTCGTTCTGCAGGAAGGCATTCCGTCGGCCGTACAGCCGTTCCGTGACCGGCACTCGCATCCGGCTGAACACGGATACGTGCGACTCACTCTCACCCTGTCCTTCCTTCAAGGGTTCACGACGTTTGCTCGTCGTTTCTTTGTCTCGACGGCTGGCTTGCTTCTTGTTGGGCCTACGCTCCGGGCCCTTGCCGTTGTCCCGCTGTTGGGATCGGCTCAACTCCTTGTTCTCGGGTCCCCGGCCAAAGGATTCAGGCGGGAGTCCGTCATTAGATTCTTCAGGTGTTGGGCAAAAAGCTCTGCACTTTCCACCACGTTTTGCTGGACCTCACGATGCCCGTCAGGTTGGAACATCGGCTGCGGCATCGTGACCGGCATGTGGAAACCGGTCATGGGCTGATTGAGCATCATCGCCCTCATCATGGCCCAGAAACCGCTAGGGTCTGGACCTGGGGTCCTCGCACCGGAGGTCTCCCCGAATTGGAAGAATGGTGAGTTGAAATCACCGGGCAACACCATGCCTCCCCCACACACGAGCCCGTTGGGAGAAGGCTGGGTTAGAATGCCGGCGCCCTAGGTGGGCACCTGCTGTGTTGGCGCCTGAGACCCCAGCGTTCATCGTTCGCCGCTTGGGAATGCGATGACGCAGGTCAGTGGTATTTTGGCTGGCGACATCATTGAGGCTGATGTCCAGCTCATCGGGACCTGCGCCGATCGGCGCCGTTACAGTCATCCTGAGACCTCCACCGAGATTGGCGGTAGACGACCTGGTAACTCTCCTTGATGCAACCATTTTCCTTTGGAGCACGCTTGATGTGTTCGACACTCTCAATGAGAGCACCAATGTTGGGTTATGGAACCCGGGGGCCTAGGTAACTAGGCGGATGAGTATCGAACTAAGTACAAGCGCACAAAGTATGAGGGGTCAAGTAAATTGAGAGTAATAATGTGCTAGTTGGAATATCAGTTAGAACGTCCGTCCCCCTTCCCTTAGAAGGGAAGAGGTTTATATACAAGTTACAGCTGGGGTTCCGACCGTTGGTCCGTAATCCAACGGTCTGGGCCCACTAAGATTGGGTTGTTCACTGGCGGCGTCCAACCACATAATTAACCCTAGGACTGCTACACAAAGTAGATTACAAATAGGGTGGCTATAGCAACTCTGCCAGAGGCATGGCAGGAGTCTAATCGTGGGCCCCTTGATCCTGACTAAGCCAGCTCCCTCGTCTAGGTCCGGTCTGCCGCTGCTCGTGGCCGAGGCCGAGCGCCTGACTTGCCTTCGGAAACCTCTGGATGGAAGGCCGGCCGTGGTTGCTCCGAGGATGACCAACCCTGCCGGGGCCGAGTGCGCAGTGCTGCCGAGGCGCTCTTTGCTGGTCATTTGTCCTGGTTCTGTCAAGTGGGCCTTGACGAAGTTGGGCTGGGCCGTCTTCCTGCTGGGCTGGATACCCCCATTCCCGTGTATCCATCACTCACATAGTCACAGACATACTGACACTTTTGCACTGTATGTGTGTGTTTGTGACACACTGTGATGTCAAAAATGGTGAATAAATAATGCCTTAACCCCTCAAACCTAGATTTGTTACAAAAAAGGTCAAGCGTTCATGTTGGACCGCCTGGAGGTAACACGAAACACTAGGCTGCCAAACAAAATCCGAGCAACAATGTCAGGTTTGAATCCGAACACGATATTCATGAAAAGTCTTATGCTTTAGCATGATCACGATATCCTTTTTTAAAAAAGGTTGAAACTCTAGGGTGTCCCTTCTACAGTGGAGGAGGTAAATTGAACTATGATATCAGATTGATAGAAGTGAGATCTGTCCTTTAAAAAGAGTGTATTGAAGAGCATTATTTGCACTGTTATAGATTGTCCTGTGAGAAGCCAGTTCGTAAATCCGCAACTATATACAACTCTTAAACCACAGTTGTCACAATATGATCGTTGCATCGGCAGAAAAAAATCAAGCGATCCAATCCTCATCACTTTCGTCCATATCCTGTACATATCACATTACAATTAGTACTACTGATAAATTATCATATACCCCGGAGTAACTGATATTTAAATAGTATTGGAAATTTTAGGCAAAACAATCCAATCTTTAATGAGTTGCTAAGAATAATCCGACCTTTAGTTCAAAGTAGCTGCTTAAAATGTATCCAAGTTAACTTCGTTAGCTTAATACTAATGGTAAGATACAAAATTTCATGCACCAACTCTAAGAGGTTGGATTATCCAGTATCTATATTAAAGATTAGATTATGATTTAACCCAGCAAAAGTTTAGATTGTTGTGCTCAAATGTTTTATATACAAATCAATTGTTATATATACAAATCATTTTAAATAAAATACTCTGTTTTTTTCATTGTTTCTCTAGCGGAAGACGCATAACACAAACTCACACCATTAAATTATTACTATTTCAAATGTATAAAATTTGCATATTATGTAGTCAACCTGAGATGTGCTAGAGAACTCTTCAATCTCTTCATCTTCAGCCTGCAAAGTATACAAAATAGAAAATCACTCTCTTTCATGCAGTGTATAAGCCATAAGGTGTTCTCTGACTCTCGTGCAAACAGGACTTTGTGCCCAGATGTACTCCCTAAGCTCGTATTTCATGTAATTTGCCAAAAATGAATTGCAAACAAGTTAAATATGATGTTTAGTTAAACCAACAACGTTTTAGATCAACCAGTAGGAATCATGAAATTTAGCTGTTTTACCTTGCCAGAATTAAAATGTCTTTTGGGCAAATACTCATTTTTTTAAATTTTTGGACGCAGTACTAAATATAGAACTTGGTGAATCGCCAAATACCAACCTGTGAAGAATCAATAGGCGTGGATGAACTCGGATCTAAGACACTTCTGGTTTTCTCCCTCCTTTGTGTTGATATATTGGAGCCACTGGCCTTTGTATTCTTAGTGTACACTCTAGCAGCATCAGCAGATTTTGCAATACTCTTCATTGATTTTTCAGCAACGAGGTTAGCATAGCAGGTTAAAATGGAGGTTAATACATATGAAAATGAATAAGAGTACAGTCATAGAGGCAGAGAAACAAAATCCTTATATAAACTGGGTTGATGACCCACAGATCATGGAAAACCCCATTAGTAGTTTCACTGGTTTGGTTTGAGCATGGTAAGAACTATAACTCTATATAATTTGAGCAGTTTAGAGAGCTAATTAACAAGGTAGAAATTAAATAACATTTCAAAATTTCTTTTGCATAAAAGGAGGCATCAGTTCCTCAAATTCACCATTAGCACAATTGTCTAAGACTTGGTTGAGCAATATGAATCCTATGTCTCAATTTTATGCCCTCGGCACATGTACCTGCTACGCATGAACAGTCTAACCAAAATTCATACCCTTAGCAAATTAGGCATCATTCATAGGTCTTTAACTAAAATGATGATTAAGAAATGTCCAAAACTCATTTCATGCAAATATGGCATTTTCCTAGTTGCAGAAGGTAACCTTGAATGCATGATGGCGCGGCACTGCACTCTAATTGGATTAATAAATGTTCCATCCCACTTTGAACATATTAACACAACCTATTACTACACATTTCTTTCCACCAATGCAGCTTTTGGATTCAGACTACAGCATCAATCTAAAATTTTGAGATAGATGGCCCTTTATGTTCGTAGAAGCACTGAAGAGAAGGAAGAAGAAAACAATGAAAGCTGAATACAGTATGCTGAATGTGAACTGTGAACAGGGAGTACATACACTAGAATGTGACCAGGATGGTGCGACTGAGACTGACTTCTTCCTAATAGATCTATGTGTCTTCCAATGCTCCAAACAACTGTTGCAACTCACCCATCACTTTCACATTGAAGCTCAAAGGAGGTTGCTCATGTCAGTCATTCATTTCCAATGTTGATGTGACCAACGACACAGCTCATTGGTTTTGGTGACTTGTTCGCTAGTTTCTCTATCCTGCATGCTTTGCCATCCTTTGATATTCTACCCATCACTCGTCATCTCCTGTGGCTCGACAATGTTTTAAAAGTAGGTGTCGATTGTGTTTGAAAAAACGGGTGACATTTGGCCCATAACGTCTTCAAAGTTCAAAACTTCCCCCAAGAGCAGGGACAAGGATTACATGGACAAAGAGCAGTGAGGAACCCATGGAAACAAGCACTAAACAAATGTTCATGCATGCAATGATTGGCATGAATATCAAAAGTCATTATTAGCATAGCTATTTACGACAACACTTCACCCTCTGCCTCCTACACTGATCATGATTCTCTTATATGAAGACATAATAAAATCAAACTAGCAGGCCCTAAACCCCAATCTTGTAATAGATACAAAAAAAGTTCTGAGGGAGACAACGATTCTGGCAGATTGGTATGGGGGGCTTTCTAGCTTTATTGACGATGATGATTCACTTTGACATGTCTGCAAGAATAAGGGGTGCAAAATTATGACAGTACCAGTAACTTAATTGCCAGAATGCCACGTCAGAAAAAAAATATAGTACTACATGATGGAAACTAGAAAATATGATATTTGCATGACTTTTAGTTTCTTGAGTCATTGAGTGGATAAATGATGCTTCATTGTCGATGTTGATGGCCAATGGCACATTGAACTAGTAAGATGGCATATAGAAACCCTTTTCCCATTCCTTTTCATAGCTTTTAGGCTTCGTTTGGGAACATTGTAATTTCCATTAGCGTTTTGGATAATTGTTCAGTGGTGTATACAGAATTTGATAACGCTAATGCTAAAAGATGTCGTTGGATAGCATTTTCAAACGCTCAAGTTGATGCCAAAGGTAGCTTGAGTTTCTTAGGTTGGCCTTTTAGCCATTCTAGTGATTGTATATAGTGGACAGGCAATAAAAGCATGCCTTCCCTTATATTTCTAGATTCAAGTGTGAAAATCAGAAAGGATTGACTCTGATTCCACCAAATGGCTTATGCAAATGTGGAAGGTTTTGAGGCCTTCTGAAAAACAATAATTAGAAAATGAGTACACACAGCTGAGAAAAGATGAACCAAACAAATCAGCTTTGCATTCAATATTATTATTGGGAAGGAACAAAGATGAAAATAGCACACCTCAGATTGCTTCTTTGCTAGTGTGATCTTTCTGCCTACAAGAAATGGAAACAAAATACTTAATAATAAATGATGTGAACTTTAAAGGAAATATGAAAGGCCAAAGAACTGTACAAAGCTAAAATAAGTTTGGTTACATGAACGTTAGTGCTATTTTGATCCATAGTCTATCGGCCATAAGAACATTAAAGGAGATAAAATGATAGACGCAATGTTGACCTCCTAAAAGTTCAGGCACAGAACTTGCTTCAGGCATAGGCAAATCAAGACACACATATGATTCATGAATTACCACAGAAAGGTTGTAATGGCATTCTAGAGTTTGATGACAGAGTAGGTGGTAACCCTATTTCCAAATAGGATATAGCTGACTATGAGCTGTGGGTTAGAAAATATGGCTTAGAAGAACTTCCTACTGAGAGTCTAAAGTATACTTGGACTAGTAAACAAGGTCCAGGGCATTGACTTTGAAGTTAGAGAGAGCTTTGATAAACATGGAATGGATCCTGAATATGGAGGCTAAGGGGACTATCCAAACTACTTTCAGACCCATTGGCTTGTACACAAACTACTTTCGTGGGATCATACTGGGTTGTTGTTTGCTGGCTTGTACAAAACAGAAAGGGCTAAAAAGAATTTGCGATATGTGGATGTTGTATCCAGGTTTCAAAGACATCCTACAAAATATGTAGAAGCAAAAAATCAGAGGCTGTATCATGTTTTAGTTTGTTAAGAAGTCGAGTCTCCTTAAGAAATCCTTTTAGAAAGAATAAAAAAGGATAAGTTTTGATTTATCCATTCTCAAGTTGAAGAAGTGAGGTCCCAGTAACTGAATGCTTTGAGCAAGATTCAACAGGACCCAATAAGTAATGATCTTACGGGGAG